ATCCTGGACACTACAGAAAATGGGCTAAAAGTGTTAAAAAACGGAATTTTCCTTTAAGCATAAAAAAGAGCATGCATATTTTTGCAAAGGACCAATGAAACTGAAGAATAGTGTCCCTACCAAAGTTGAAATCAAACCTACGCCCTTGAGTCAAGTTAATCAAAAGATGCAGACATATTGGTTAAAATTTTTTTATCTATGTAAACCCAGTTGATTGTATTTGATAAAATAGATTAAATGAAGAAGATTTTAGATTGAGTTTGATCTTACCAATAATTGCAGTAGCAGGGCGTGGTAGCGGGCTGTGATCTGGGTGGCTCTGCTACTGATCCGGCTGCTTATATGGGTTTCATCCAGAACTTGCTGAGCCAAAAGCGTAAGGCCTTCCATTTCCTCCTGATAAACGAGCACCTCTTCCTGCCAGCTCTAATGAAAGACAGGATAATATTACTGCTCAGAGTTGCTTAAATCCTTAAACATATTTGACAATTTTAGAGTCAACCAGTTTGTTAATCAAGAAAAGTAAAACTGGACCATCCTTTACTATATAAGTTTTACATGTTTTTCATGCGGCTACCAACCTTCACCATCTGTAACTGAGCGCTCTTCGTGGCGCGGTCAGACCGCCGGTTAGAACGCAGCTGAGCTTTGGTTTCCATGCCTTTCAGCCAACTGTCAAGACGCTGGAACTTCTGCTCCATCTGTCGAAGTTTGGCCAGAGCGCTGTTCAGCTGAGCACGGGTGTCAGCCAGCTGAGCCTGATAGAGCCTCCACTCCTGCTGGAGGGTCTCAAGGGCTCGGTCCTCGATCTGAGGGAGACCCCAGGGGACCACAAGTTCACGACTCAGCAACAAGGTGTTCAGCAAAGCCTGGCCTTCGGTGCAGTGCAGCTGCAGTTCCTGGGATTAAATATTTCATGTTGACCTCCGTCATAATTACAAGTAACACAAACAGGATAATATCAGGGGTTCATTTCACACCTGCAGCTTTTGGAGGGTTTCCTCCAGCATATCAACATCTCCTTCCAGCTGGGTGTAGCAGCTGAGCTTCTCTTCTTCTTGCTTCAGCCACTCCTCAAAGGAACGAAGGTCCCACTGATACTCTTGATGAGCTTTCACCAATTCCTCTGCTTTGCCAACTGCCCTCTAAGGAACAGCACAGTGATTCATTGACTCACATATAGAGTTAATGGTTTACATTCATATTTCCTGATTGAGTTTGTCACATTCAATAAAAAACAAATATTACAGTTTGAATTTATTATGGAACGCCATCATGCTTATTCTGTAAATGCATTTTAAAAATATTGCACACTTGTTGCAAGTGTTGTTAGTTTTCTGGAATAGAGATGACATTGTTATTGTTACCATAGCGTTGTCTTTGGCGGTGTTATACCGCTCCTGAAGTTCTTGCAGCTCCAGGTGAGTAACATAGTTTTCAGTGATTCTAGCGCTTTTTGCAGTAATGGTTTCCAGGAGACTGTTGTGGCTGAGCACCTCCTCATAAAGCAGCTAAACGCAAAAGGAAATTTAATCATAAATTTATATGAATTTAAAAAAACGTCCACATGAGAGAGGAGGGTGCAATACCTTTGCTTTGCTCAGATTAGCCGTTTTGTCTCTCATCTCTGGGCACAGCTTATCGGTGACCTCAAGGCTTTCCTCCACCTGCTCAATCCAAGCCAGAAACTGACGCACGTCCTCTTGGTAACTTGTCCACTGAGACAGCGAACCTTCCAGCTGACTGTTGATGGTAGACATAGAAATAGTAGGTTAGCTACATGATGTTCAGTATTTCTGCCTTGTTGAATAGGATGTACTTTTAGTATAGAATCACAAACAGGCTTAAATTCGAAGGCAACCAAACATTCACTCAACTTTTATGAAGACATTTTGACACCTGTTCAGGAGTCTTTGTCAGTTTTGCAGGCTTGCACCAGAGCAATTACTAGTTGAAGAGCCAATATTTAAGCAGCATGGAGGTTCATCCTCCTGCACATAATTCAAGTAACCCCTTGTTCTCTGGATCGTTAAAAACTTTTCCTGTGTATGGGCTATGTGATTGGTCTTTCAAATGATAATAGAGGTGCTGAGGTAACTTTATGGGAATGAGTTGGAGTGCTTGGAAGCTGAAATTGCAAATCCTCCCCCTCTATACAGTGATGTCTTTCTCTTTTTTTTTATAAAGATGCAATTATTGATTCCTCTTTCAAACCATCTGTCCTCTCTGTCGGAAATCTGAACACTTTGGTCTTCAAAGGTATGTCCTTTATTCTTGAGGTGGAAGTGTACAGCTGAATGTTACCCAGAGATGCTAGCTCTCCTATTGTGGCGCCCTGTCCTCGTTGGTCCTCCCTGCACACCTGCATCTCGTTGGATCATTATCTGGAGGAGTACTTAAGCAGTGGACTGTCACTGTTACCTAGACGCCAGAGTGTTTGCCAGTTTTGGGTACTGTAGCCAAGCTGAGTTTATCTGAGTTCTAACTGAGTCTTTGTTTCACTGAGCCTAACCTTGATTTTGTCTTTTCTTTTCGGCAGGAAGTCATCCTGCAAGCTGGATTTTTGGCCTTCTTCCCCTGGAAGGATTGTTTGAGTCTCACAATGAGCAGGGGATTAACCTCCACTAGTTCCGTTCAAGTTCTCCTGGATTTCCGAGTGACAGTCCTCTCATACTCCTCTGGGTCCAACGAAGGTCTGCCTGTCCGCTCTCCAACGAGTCCCCTCTTTACTAGGTCAGCCCACACAGACTGGATGGCGGGAAGAAAGTTTTCTCCACTAACGTGAGTCCCGTTTTCTCTGTCTCTCCAAGTCATTGTTCAAAATTCCCATGGATCCTGAACTCACCTCTGTGAACTTCCCTCCTCCCTTCCAGTTCCTGTTCCCCAGCCCTCTGAGTACCAGATCCAACCCCTGAACCCTTACCACAATAAACCTGTTTAATAAATAAATCACGACACCTATGCTGTGCCAGGCGTTTATGAAGTTTTTGATTCTTTAATATAGGGGGCTGTAAATTCCTCTCTGCACTGGATCGCATGCAGAATCCCACCCAAACCTAAGCTGAGCGCCGTTGTGTTTGCCATGCAAACATATAAATGATGGGTTGACGCTTCCACTCTTTGGGTTTAGAGATATTTTCTGAGATACAAAGCATCATCATTGCTCATTTGTTCTAAATGAGTGCAAAAACAAACAAAAAATGACAAAACAGATACACCTTTTGCAAAGAATTGCAGCAGAAAGCAGAGCATCCCAGGAGTCTTTAAGCTCCTGTATTTGTTTTTGGATTAGTGGCACTCCTTCAGCTGAGGTGTTTCTCTGCACTGACTCTCCTCTTGTGATCAGCATCTTCAGCTGGATCTCCTTCTCCTGGCGAGCTGTCAGCAAAGCCTGATGCGAAACCAAACACATTTATCACCATACAATATTTCATATGCATTGGCTGGCTTCAATTAATAGAGAATATTGTTTCTCTACCTCCAGCTTGATCATTCTGCTATCTAGTACATTTTTGTCAGCCGTCGGAGCGCTGTAAGTCTGCAGCATATGGCTGGTGTCAGCCACCCAGTTCTGCAGCTCCTCTAACCCTTGGGAGAAAAGCTGGTGCTCTGTAACGATCCGATCAATGCGGGAGGCCTTTTCCTGCACATCCATAAACATGAAACCATTAAACATCAGGTTATTAACCGTTATAGGTTAAAGATATCAAATCAACGAAGTTAGAAAATGTAAGTTGCATCCACAAAATGCATACACCCATGTTTAAAATCTGGCAGGACTGGGTATGAGTTTGTCACAATATTTTTTTCCCCAAATTGTGCAACTAAATGGCTCCATACTACTGCTGTTAAAGTGCAAACACTGCTTTTCACATAAATACAGATTTTGAAATAGACTTCTTGGATGCACCAGTGATTATGGCCGTTTCTCAATATGCGTTCTTGAGCGTTCTCGTGTGCTCGTGTACTCGTGACACGTCATCAGCCTCAGCCC